TTTAATAATTAGAATACTCAGGAATTTGAAAAAATCCATCTAAGTGCGCTACTGATACTCAAGCAGAAACAGAAATCTCTCACATGAATAAGAAAATTGATCTCAAGACTCATGAGTTCTGGAGTCCAAAACTAAATATTCATATTCAGCCAGTTTAGTTCTCCGGCAGCAAAGCGATGAAGTGCTTTGTTTTATTGAAATTAAAATAAAAATAATTTTTATGAATTGTGTATGTGCCTGGTTATCTGTAGAATAGAAAATTTAATTGCATTTATCATTAAAAAACATATGGAATGCAAGCGTTTGGAATTCATTGAAGAATAGCCATTCGTATATGAGGCATTACGAACTGTGAAATTTTAAATCTTATGTGTGCATTACTGTATTTAAAATATTAAAAATGGTGAGAAATTTTCAAATTTAGAAACAAAAACCATTAAAACATGATATTTTTTTGAAACAGATAAGATTCTTTTTACGCATGATGTGTACAATTCTCAGTGACTTCTGTCTATTTGTTTCATACTTCAATGAGTTAATGTCTTGTTAATGTACAATGTATACTCTATGCATATATATACATATAAATATATATATATATATACATATATATGAAAATACTAGGAAATATTCATTCGCAGTAAAGAAAAAATTATATTTTTAATATTTTTGAGGGACTAAAATCATTATATTCCTTACATTACTTACCTACTCATTTGTGGAACTACTCATTACAAACGTATGCGGGTCTTGACCATATGAAGTATCCTCCGCTAGTCAAACGGTTATTTTTGTTCACCTAAAGAGACTTCAACTTTTTAATTACCGACTAAGTTCATACCAGAACCTGTTGGTTATTCAGTTCTTTTCTTGTTTAAATAATTATTAAAATCGTATATATGTCTACGACCGTGTAAAGTATCCTCAGCTAGTCAAATAGTTTTTTTATTCGTCAAATGAGCTTTCGATTTCTAAATTAAACACTAAGTCCATAGTAGCACCTATAAGTAATTCAATTATTTTTATGTTTATGTTGGCCACGTAAGACACCTTCAATAAGATCCCGATTTTTCAATTGCATACAAAGCGCATAGAAACACCTATTGGTGATACTTTCCTTGTTATCAAGGATGCTGTTACTGACATTATTATTATATATGACATGATCAAAAATAAAAATTCAAGAACGTAGTGTAAGAATAAAAGATTTCCAACTAATTCTATCACGCGCTATAGCTCTTAGTTCACTGAAAGATTTGCCCGATTCTCTGTTGATTGTCCTACTCCATGTATTATTCAGTCGACCGCGATTTCTTCTTCCTTGCAGATTGTATTCTAGAGTGGCATGTGCAATTCGCTGATGGATTTGTGTAGTGTGTGCCCCAACTACATATATATTTAGTTTAAAAGATATGTCGTCCGTTGATGATCGCTTTTGTTACTTACATATTAATTACAAATATTAATAAAACCATCGTATTGTTTTCTTAGAATAAAAACTGTAAAGTACTCCTTCAATTGATCCCATTACTTCTATGTCTGCCAACGATTATGGGCGCAAAAATTCTGGGTCTGTTTGCTCATCCTAGTGAAAGTCACTTCTCTGTTATGCAAACGGTAATGTTAGAATTGGTTAAGAGGCAACACACTGTAAGTAACCAATACCCGTATTATAATGACAACTGTGATGAGATACCTTAAATATGCTTATACCTTTAATTAAGGTAACAATTTACAGCAGCCATCAATTAAATGAAAGCAGAGAGAACTTAACTGAAATTTTTGTGGGACCTGAATATCCTTTTTGGCAAAAATGTAAGTCATATTAAAGAAACGAATATTTACTGATGTGTAACCTATCTGCAATATCCACAGTACAAGCTAAAGCTGGTGTTAAAAGCTTACAAGAACTTAGTCAACTGTCAGAAGATAAAATACAAAAGGATCTGGGTTTCGTTGGCGCTGCAGCTACCGATTATTTTCTCTCTCACACAGCTCTACAAAAATTACATAGCGCTACGAAAGCAGATTTTGATTATGATGTTATCGTTGTGGACCTATTTTACACAGATTCACTACTAGCCTTTGCGTATGCATATAATAAACCCGTAGTCGGTATTGTTAGTTCAAACTTCGAGAATTACATGCAGCACGTACTGGAATATGTAATGCCTGTGGCATGTTCACCTATTGATTTTGAAACGTATGAGAAGAATATTGGATACTGGCAACGTTTAAGCAATACAAGAAGCTGTCTTAGTCGGAAAAATCTCTTCAGCAAAAATAACATTAGTCCACAGCAAGAATTGATAAAAAAACATTTTACTAATTTGAAAGGTAAAGTAACCAAAATTAAATTTTATAACAAAAAAAAATAAGAAAATGTATTTTATATCAATTGACTAATATTTTGTTTCTTTTGTAAAGATGATATGCCCACCATAATTGAGTTATACAATAAACTTGATGTTTTGCTGCTTAACAACTACCCACCACTGCAAACTCCACGCCCAATGCTACCCAACATAATTGCAGCAGGTGGTCTGCACATTCGACCCCCACGTGAACTGCCATGGCACATCAAACGCTTTTTGGATGAATCACGTTCCGGTGCCATTTACATGAATTTAGGAAACGAACAATTTTGTGCTGAAATACCAAAAGAGAAACTGCAGACGTTGTTCAATGTGCTGGGTAAGTTTAAAGGGCACATCATATGGACTTGCCACGATGTAGAAAAAATCGAAAATATGCCCAAAAACATGTTGATACAGCATGCCGTTCCGCAGACAGACATACTTGCGCATCCACACGTGAAAGTATTTATTATGAATGGCGATTTACTTAGTTTACAGGAAGGCATTATACGGCATGTACCTATGCTGGGCATACCAATATTTCGAAATGAGTTCCATAATGTGGAATTAGCAGAGCGTCTAGAAGTCGGTCTTAAAATTATTAACTCAAACCTCACCGAAAATTCACTTACTTGGGGATTAGAAAACCTACAAAACAATGCTGATTATCAAATAACAATTCGAAAAGTGTCCACCACCTTTCGCAATCGACCGTTGGGTGCATTGGAGACCAGCATGTTCTGGATTGATTATGTGCTCCGGTACAATGGTGCCGATGTAATTAAAACAAAAGGCATAGGAATCTCTACAAGGCATTTACATTTGATGGACTTGTGCATTTATTACGCTATCATAACTTTATTTATAGTAACTATTTTAATTGGTCTATATTTTCTGGTTTTTTATATTTTGAAGCGCAACAAATTGGAAAAAATGTACTCAAAACTTAGTTAAAAATAAAAATTAAAAATTTTAAAAAATTTTCTCTTTGTGATTTAATTAATGTGGGTAAGTAAAATATTAATTTTAAATTAATAATACTGGATTGATTATTTTATTAGAAGAAATAACGATATATTTTAATAATAACTGAATGGTGCTAATAGTACTAATATTTTAATATAAACACATTTGAGTAGATTGAGTAGTAATTACCTATATTAGATAAGGTTGGAATGACGGCTTTATAAGACAAAGCCCACTTGAGCTCAAATATTAGGCCGTTGAGACTCTACGGAGTCTTTCTGTTCATACGTAGAACAGAAAGACCTAGAAAGAAAGTACAAACAACACTGAAATGCACGACTCTCATACTCAAATGAAAGTAAACCAACCTCATAAGTCTTTGAACTTCGCTAAGTCCCCAATTTTATAGTGTGACAGATCTGTCAGGTCGGTAAGTAACGGGAACCTGCAAATTTTTAATCTTCTTTTCGTGAAAATTGATACTCGGAATCCTCCACCTATTTAGAGATAGGAATTCTAATTGCGTGCTCATACTTTTATAAGAATGATAGCATAAAGAGCGGTTGACATCAGCATCGATAAGCGCTTGCACTGAACACAAAGTAAGCTAAAAGTGTTAGTAAAATCAACAATAATAACCACCAAATATGCAAATGTAAGCGCTAAAAAAAATGTTTCTATATACTTGCCTTTCTACCAACGCTGATAACAAGACCTAACAAGAAGACGTAAGCAATGAGTACTGAGCAAAAGTTATTTACATACGATTTTATTGTTTATAAGAAAAATATATGTTGGCTTGTCGTTAACAAAACTCAGTGTTCTTTAAGTGCTCATCCTTGCGCAGTGCAACCGGACTCCTCAATTACTTTTTCCTGCAGCCATCTATCATTTGTTTAATAGCTACGCATTATATATACCATTCCTAACGACAACAGCAATAATGCAGTGGTAGTCTTTGTAAACTGTTTGATCGGAGTACTGTTCACACTATATATACCTTGAACCTGTGTATTATTTCGTTATTAAGTAAATATACCAATTTCATACTTCGTAATTTAGTATTCATTATTATAATTACAGTAAACTAACAATGATGTTTGCATCAGTTGTACACCCACCTTTAATACGCGCTTGTTCCCAAACAATCCCTTTCCATTTCATAGTTTCTTAACCCAAACATATCTTGACCCATGTAATTTCCTTTATGTTATCTGCTATATATATATACCCATTTATTATCACAACAACAACACGATTTATCCACATGAAGAAGATAGAAACCTTTATAAAAACTATGTGCCTTTATTATATATTTATTTTAACATGCATATAAGTTATATTATAATTAAATAAATAGTATATATAAAAAAAATATATATGTATTTTATTTACATGTCATTTTGGAAGAGCTATATATTTTATTATTATAATATTTTATTTAATTCAGAAACTAAAAGTGTAAAACCAGATGGATTTCGATACAATATTTAACTTAAAACTAATCTTAGCAGTTCACCAAGCGATACAATATGTCAATACGAATAAAAACCGGAAAACTTAAGTTATATTTTTTTTTTTGTTGGAGTAAGATAAAGGCACTATAGCAGTGATGTATATTTTAATTCTAATTTATATATATATATATATATTAGATATATATTTAAAAATAATATACAAAATATAATGGTGCAAATTGATTACACAATTTTAAGAAGTATTTTATTTGTCGATTATAAAAATTCATTATTGGCAATTAATGTGAAGACGTCACATTATGATGATGTGTATGCTCGGCTATGTAAATCACATATATCAGTGGAATCACAAAACATAAAGCTAATATGACCACAAAAAGACACACCCATGACATATCACAATCAGATCCAGACCAATCGATAGTTCTTAGCGATGGTCCACGAATCGGTCTTAAGCGCGGAATGTATTCATCATCCAAAAACCCGTCTATCAAAGGCGCTGTAGCTTCATTATTATCTGTAGAACGTGGAAGAGTATCTAAAATAATTTAATTTTAAAATAGTTTAAAAATTTATAAATTGAATTACAAAAACATTATGTTTTTATGTTTTTATTATGTGTAATATACTGAACTTTATTTTATCATTACAAAATAAGTTATTTATTATTCAATATAAGTTTAATCGAAAAATGTTTGTTTTTAAATTTTGATATAGCATCAAACTAAACTAATCATAAAAGTTAATTGTAAGTCATATAACGTGGCGTGGCGCTGAATTTAGCATAACTCTTAATAACTTTATTAACAGCTTCCAAAAAGTCTTTTTCTGTTGCAACCTTACGACGTGCACGAATAGCAAACATGCCTGCTTCAGTACAAACTGAACGGATTTCAGCTCCAGTAGAGTTTGGACAGAGACGCGCCAATAGCTCGAAACGTATATCACGCTCAACGGACATCGAACGAGCATGAATCTTAAATATGTGTGAACGCCCCTCCAAATCTGGCAAGCCGAATTCCACCTTACGATCTAAACGACCAGGACGCATCAAAGCAGGATCAAGTGTGTCGGGTCTATTGGTAGCCATAAGCACTTTAATATTACCGCGCGGATCGAAACCATCCAACTGATTTATAAGTTCTAACATAGTACGCTGAACTTCATTATCGCCTCCAGCGCCATCGTCGAAACGTGCTCCACCAATAGCATCAATTTCGTCAAAGAAAATTAGACAAGCCTTTTTCGAACGTGCCATTTCGAAAAGTTCACGCACCATACGTGCACCTTCACCAACATACTTTTGAACAAGCTCCGAACCAATAACACGTATAAAGCAAGCGTCTGTACGATTAGCAACAGCACGAGCACAAAGTGTTTTCCCTGTTCCCGGTGGTCCAAATAGTAAAACTCCCTTTGGTGGTTCAATACCAAGGTTAACGAATTTTTCAGGATGCAATAATGGTGTCTCTACAACTTCACGGAGTTTTTCGATTTGTTCCTTACAACCACCAACATCACTATATGTAACATCAGGTTTATCTTCAACTTGCATCATAGTTACTGTCGGATCAATCTTGGGAGGTAACGGAATATGTATTTGGTACTTATTACGATCAACACCGACACGCATACCTTCCTCAATATCTGTTGGTGCTACTGAATCTGCCAAATCAACAACAAATTTTGCAAATTGTTTCACATTTATTATGTATTTGGGATCATCGGAATCAGCGTTAATAATTTTCGTGCAACGCGCAACTTGCAAAGGTTGTTCATTTTGCAAAATTTGTTTATCGGCTGCTAAATCCCACAAAGCAGGCGGCGCAAGCCCTGTATCACTTTCTTTAATACCAGTTAGTTCATTTACTTGCTTTACAGCCTTCTGTATATCTTCTTCGATCGTCTTAATTGGCTTGTGGTACTGATTTTGTCCGTAAGTTTTAAGTAGTTCTATATCACCCTCATCAAGAGATTTTATTTCCTTTTCTTCTTTTTCTTCGTGTTTAACTTTACGTTGATCATCTCCCAGGTAATCCGGCATTTTTATTTATTTTTGCAGCTTTTATTTAATAATTTAAAATTAACAAAAATTCAGATATCAATGACTAAACAGTTTGCTAAATTATGCTATGTCAGTTGCCCAACTCAGAAGAGAAATACCAACGTCAAATGTCAAATGTAAAATATGACGGAACAATGTACAGGGATGTTATTACACTACACTTAAACCTAATTTAAACGAAGCCATTGCAGTGCAATGCAAAAACCAAATTATAAAATATTTTTTTGTTGGTATTTAAAAAAGTTTTGATATAATCAATTGTATAATTTAAATTCTAATAAAATTTCGCTTATTTTGTAATAACCTTAATATCAACGTTTAAAATGTATGCACGTAAAACTAATATTTACAATATTAATAAATTTTTAAATATAAATACGTATTATTAAGCGTCTTCACGATTTTTATTTCGAATGCTAAACTTGTGCTAAAATGATAAAAATTTAAAATGTTGAAAGTGTAAAAATATTGTAATATATATTGCAAATGTTATGTGTTTAAAACAGAACTCGCTTAAACTTTTATAGTAACTTTTACAGTAACGTTGTGAAGCTCATATTTTATGACAAGATCTGCCTAAAAAATTACATTTATAAAAACTAGTCACAATTGATTCGACAGTTTTAATTTAACAAATTAACAAATAGATACTCTGCAATGTTCAATGTTTCATACAAATTATTTGGCACACATTTGACACTTAAACAATTTAGCATAATTTATTTTTGTTTTAATTTTTCAGTCGTGTTTCGGCAAAAGCAAATTTGCCGAATCACGTGTAGGGATACACAACATAAAACTTTTGAAATAAAAGTTAATATATTCTAAAACAAACAAGAATAACCGAATTTAGCATAAGTTTAACATGATATACAAAAATCATAAGAAAGCTATAACATTTACACTTAAAATTAACTAACTTCATTCACAAAGTTTTGTATAGATATTATGACCGTGTGCGAATTCGAGTAAATTGAGGTAAAGTAAATTGAAATTTCCTAGGAATTTTATGCACTGCACTTATGTAAATATTTATTTATTTATTTATTGCATTTATTATTTTTGGTTGAAAGTTATACAATTTATTTATTTATTAAACATCTCAAATTTTAAAAATGGTAACCCCTAATTTACCTAATTTTTATCTAATATACCCTACTCGAAATTCTGGTAAATACCAACATTCGCTGCCACACTGAAATAATTTACTATTTCCCTCAAATTAACATCAATTTACTCGAACTCTCACACGGCCTATGTGAAAAATGGCACCTGCTGCTGCACATTTGTCAAGTTAATTGCAATAGTGTAAACATACTGTAAAATATTATAATTTAAGCATTTATATAAAACATTCTAAAATGAAAAATATTTCTGAATTAATTTTTAGAATACGTAATATTTCAAATATCTATATAACAAACAAATGATTTTAAAACTACATTAATAAAATACAATAATTGAAATTTTAAAAATTAATTAAAAGTACTCTAATTAATTTTAAAAATTAAATTAATTTTTAAACTGTATTAGAGTACTTTTTAAAGTATATTTGTATATTCTTTCCCTTATTACTGACCCCGAAATATTCTTCCATGTGCTTATTTAACAACATTTAATATGTTATTTAGGAGTTTTATATCGTCGAATTTATTTGATAAATTCCTAAAAAATATAGAGCACAACTAAAAAAAATATTCATACATAAGCACTGTAAGCAAGAAACTATATTAATGTTAATAAAGCTTGAACGTGACAATTTTTCGATATTACTTTGAAATATGATCTTTATAAAAAAAGAGAAATAACAGACAACGCAACAATATTTTATATTATCTGCTGTATTATCTACTTTAAAAAACATATACATAAATGTATATATAACTATCTATCACTTTAGTTTTCAAAGATAAAGTGATATATATTAATACAGTAACAAAACTATTATAAACATACCATTATTAAATTTAAATAAATTTTTGAAAAAATGCTAAAAAATTACTCACCATTATTATTAATATTTGATCTAATCCCAGCTGCATTAACCGACGCAACTAGCAATTTTTCCCCTAACGTTTTTTGAGCATCTTCTAAAGGATTACATATATTTTTTGTCGTAAACTCATCATTAACTGGAACTGTTTGCTTTGGACTGCTATTACCGCTTTTGTGTATAGTGGGTAATGTTTCCAATAATATCGAATGTTCATTCACAGGAATTTTAACAACTTTTCTTGCAAAAATCTCATTTTCCTTATCAATTTTATTGAGTCTTTTTATATCTGCCACCTAAAAAAATTTAGTTTCATATATTTTATTTACAGAGTCATAAAATTCACAATCTTACTTTACAATGAAACCTCAATGCTAATGCTTGCAATGTATCTCCTGGTTGTACTTTGGCTTCAATTGTGTTTTCAAATCGAGGTTTCGCTCCTGACAGTCGTTCCATTTGCAAAAAACTATCCATTTCATTGTTGATGTCCGCATCATCAAAAACTTGGTATGTACTAGGTTTTATGTTAAAATCATCAACCTCTGTCGTTTGTTGTATCCTTCTTTGGATATAATTTAATTTATAAAAGTATTTCATGTTTTGTATTAATGAATTTTACCTTTGCCTACGCATTTCCACTAGTTTTAAGTTTCCGAGTCTTTTTGGAGTAGTCAGCTTCTTAATATAACCACACAAATTAATTCGTCAACTCTAGCATCAATTAAAATAAAAAATTCGATCGCAGTAACTTTTAAATAAGTGTTTAAATAAATAAATGATTTTATCTAAAAATTATAATACACATATTCTGAAAATCAACAAGTTTACTAATTTTGTTGATGCTTCTTTATTGTTTCCAAAACATTTACGTGTAATTTTCATTTAAAACGGAATCCATAAAAATTTTGACGTATCGATGCCGAATGTCAAATAAAAGAAAAAAGTTTGTTCGTTTTGAAAAAATACACAAAAAATCAGCTGTTCAAAATAATGCAAAATTATTGCCAAATAATTAAAATTAAAACTTAAATTATATTTGTAGTCTATTTCATTTATATTTCAAAATGTGGCTTCAAAAAGCTGTTTTATCGAATTGTCAGCGCAGGATAACGTAATAAATAATATTAACTCTGTTTCTGTTCTATATCTTTATACTTGCAGGCACTTTATACCAAATTGGAATTCATTGCATCATGCTAAATCAAAACTTGTACCTCCATCACAAAACCATTTTTTAGTCAATCGCACTTTTAGAACGAATTTAAATTTACAAAAACCCGCAAAACTCGACACAGGCTCACTTCAAGAATTGGTTACATATGGTCCTATACCACCCGGAAATGTTTTCAAAGCACTTGTATTTACAGGCGCAGTAAGACTACAGTTAACTTACTCTTTAATTCAATGGTGTAATGTTTTTATTTTGAAAAGTTTAGCATTGGTACATTCATGGGTGCTACAATTCTGGAATATGAAAACACACGTAACATGATGATAGAAAAAGCAAGACAATCGAAACTGAACTGGATGCAACGTAGACCGAATGTGGCAAATAACTATTGGAATAACCTGAAAACTGATCTAAAACAATTATGGCATCAATTAGGTCCCGGTGAACAGGTTTTTGCACCAATATTCGCGTTTAACTTGTTAGTATTTGGTTTGTGGCGTGTTCCGCGATTTCGGCAAGTAATGACAACATATTTCTGTTCGAATCCAGTTGGAAGTAAATAAATAAATATATATAATTTAATGATCATTATAATTTAATTTATACATTGCAGAGGTTGTTTGTTGGCCAATGTTTTTATCTACGTTTAGTCACTATTCTACTGTGCATATTTTTGCTAATATGTATGTACTACACAGTTTTTCCAACGCTGCAGTGCTTTCACTTGGTAAGGAACAGTTTTTAGCTGTGTACTTGAGTGGAGGTGTAATCGCCAGTTTAGCTAGCATAGTATACAAGGCTGCCAGATCCCAAGCTGGTCTATCAATAGGAGCGGTAAGGGATTTATTTCGTTAAATATTAATAAGACGCTACAATCATTTTTTAAACTTTTAGTCAGGCGCAATAATGGCTATATTAGCGTATGTGTGTACACAATATCCAGATACCAAGCTGAGCATATTATTCTTACCCACATTAGTTTTCTCTGCAAGTTCCGTAAGTATCATATAAAATTAATGAAATTTCACATTAATTGTGATTATTTTTGCTTCAAGGCAATTAAAGTCATAATGAGTATAGATTTAATTGGTTGCGTGATGGGTTGGAAATTCTTTGACCATGCTGCACATTTAGGTGGTGCATTATTTGGACTGTAAGTTAAGATATGTAATAATATTTTGCAAAATTAAAATAAATTTATCTATAGATTTTATGCTTACTTTGGACACGAAGTGTGGCAGAAAAGATTACCATTTCTTACAATGTATCACAACTTTCGAAAAACAAAATAGTTCCTTTTGCATTTAGGAAAGAATTATAGCTGACAATTTTTTAAATACAAACATATAATTTAGTTTAAAATGTAAAGAAAAAAAGATTTTGAAACATTTGCAACTTATTTGATAAAACTATTAATTAAACTGTACACGATTTTTTAAAAAACTTATCGTTTCAAAGGTTTTGAGAGTTTTGCTGGTTTTTTTTCAATCGATGGTTAATTTCATGAATTCGTTTTTGTAACTTTAGTCTGGTTTCCAATGCTGTTTCCAGTTCTGGCGCATAGGATACATGCAAAATTCCACCGTAAAACTCCAATCGATCTATAAATCGTTTCGCACGCCGTGCCCTCTCAATATGATTGTACTTCACATGAAAAACATCTGTAAATTGTTCTAATACAACTGCAAAGAAGTGTATACTATATAATTTATTTGTTGAATATTATATATTTGTTTTTATGTACTTTTTTCACACATTTCTTTTGTGACACATTTGCAAAACTCTATGGTACCGTAGCGTTCTGACAAAGTTTTTACTTCATTTTGCAAATTTACTTTTGGTACACCAAATATTAATAAATGTGAAGATTCATTTGCTACAGTATATACCTAAAAGTAGAAAAATAAACAAAATTATTGTTACTTATATATATGCACCTTTTGATTGTATATATCTAAACCTCTTAAAATAATTTCACTTGCCTTAACAGCTTTGAGTTCTTTTCCTTGTCTATATGTTAATCTGGTGCGACAATATTCTTGTTGTTTGTGATGTTCAAGTGCCGAACACATAATTTACTTTAACTTAATTAAATTACGATGTTACATTCAACTTATTCAAATTTTTAATAAGTCAAATAATGTAAGGAAACAGGGTATTACATATTAGATTTGTAACATTTCTTAAATGTGTATGGAGCAATCGAAATTTATTCTAATTGTAATAAGATTAAGAAAAATTATTTAATTATATTTAAATTACTAATGTAAAGACTTTAAAAATTATTATTTAAATTTAGTTTATAAAAATTTCTAAAATTGTAATGAAATTTATATATAAGATATGGTTATAATTTGGGTATAGTACGAATAAAATTTTACTGAATATATTTTTAATCAATTTCTTTTTTGTATTATTGTGTTTTAACGTATTATTAACCATAAGTTTTTCTCTCAAAGTTGTAAAAAAACAACATTAAGTCTAATTGAAACAAATTTGTATCACTTTTAATATATATCAAATAATAATTTTTGACATATGTTTTATTGTGTTGTGTACAACATGAAATAAAAAAAATTTTAAACACTAAAAATTCATTAATTTAAATAAAAAAATTAAAATAAATGATAAAACAGAAGTAAGCATTTTTTATCTTACTGTTTTGATATATTGCAATATGTTATTATTTTTGCTCATATAATTTTAACGAATGACTAGAATTTTGCAACATATTTCCAAAGAGCATTCACTCTTTGAAGACGTAAAAATTTTTGCAAGAAAAAATCTAACTCTGAAGATTTTAAGAGCATTGTTTTTTGTTTCAAATGTTTTCTGAAAAGAAATTAAGGCTATTATATTATGTACACGAATTTGATATAATTATATATGGATTTGTAAATATTATGTTGATTTTTTTAAAAACATGGTAACTCATTTAAGTATAAATGAGAGAGATAAGAAAATTAAATGAAAACAAATATGACAACAAACAAGATAGGGTTACTACCAGCTTCTGAAAGAAACAATTTTATGGAGTAGTTATGTTATTACACAAAATAATAAATTTGTGTGTTTTCAACATTTGCATATACATATATATCAATAGTTGCAAATAGTTTCAAACCTTTGCTTTAAAGTTTCAAAATAATTTGTATTGAATATTTTAAAGTGTCAGTCTTAAAATATTTTTAATGTAAATAAAAGTCTTTCATATTGAACACGTGTGTGGTTTATATCTGTTTCAATTTAATCTGTGTTAAAAAATTTGTAAAATATATCATTATTTAACACTTCAGTACATTTGCATGCACTATTCCATCTTAGTTCTAAGTGGAATGATTTTCAAGGTTTCAATGAGCTCTTCCTCTAATCATAAAATACCTAATCTGAATGTTTTTATTTTAGAACTTAAAAAATTAACAAATTTTTAAATAATATTTACACGCAATATAAAAATTATTAAACTATTCTCTCAAGAGATATCTAATATTGTGTATTACACAATTTGTGTGTATTTTGAAATATCATGGCCACACTAAAGGATGGAAATATTGCTGATTGGTAGTGCTAAACATTTCCGTGAAAAAAAATAATTATATATTTTGATACTCTATATTTTGTTTGCACAAATTTTATAAAAAAATAACGTTTTATAATTCATATCAAAATACAATAACTACAATAGGAATTGAATTAAATCCATATATACTATTTTCACATTATACGAAATATATGAAGGACAAAGAAAAATAATACTTTGTGATTACAAAACGTTTAACAACATTGACTGTGCCAAAAAAATATAAAAAAAAAACTTCCAACTAAGCGTCCAAACCATACATGAAATAACAAACTAAATAGTTAATTAATAAAAAAATAAACAAATTATAATGGGTAATGCAAACGCAAGTATGCACAGAGAACGTCACAAGTCAATCGACTCTACACCGAATTCACCCTTTCGTGAGTTAAACGCAAGAGACTCCATCTCATCAAATAGCGGTGTACCACAAGGTGTAGTTACAGGGGGTGGTACCGGCAGTCAAGCTTTTGCTTTCGACAACAAAATCGATACACCACGTTCAGTGTTACAAGTTGGTTCTTCGCAAGAAGACGATGAAAATCAACCGTATTATACAAAACCAGTAGGTAACAGTGCAGCTGATACTTTTAACGAATTCGCACCTACAACGCGCAAGCGTTCTAATACTGTCTCAGAAGGTACAACATCGATAAGTAATATGTCCGCTATAGAGGCAAAAGAAACCAAAGATGATGAAAAAGAAGAAAATTTAAACGATGAACAAGCGCTAAAGAATCCAGCTTTGCCAACAGTTTTACGTTGGGATGGTGGCGGAAAAAATGTTATGATATCAGGCACGTTCTCCAAGTGGAAACCAATACCAATGGTTCGAAGTCATGGAAATTTCGTTACTATTATTGATTTACCGGAAGGTGACCATCAATATAAATTTTGTGTTGATGGCGAGTGGAAGCATGATCCAAAATTGGTAAGTAATATAATATACGTATTTTATTATAAAAAATAAAGAATCAATAAGTTCTTAATTAATTATTAAGATTTCGTTCATATTTTTCAACTTTTAAATATTTTGTTTTGAAATTGAGAAAAGCGTTGTGTAACTTATTTTTCTGGAGAGTAAAATATCAATGGAATTTTGTTTATGTGCTAATTGATTTAATTTATTTAATACTTTCAACAGCAAAATAATAAATTCAAACTTATACATGTATGTATATCTGTAATGTAAATAATAAATTGCCTTAAAGGCATCAATATTTAAACAAATAAAAAGAGAGAGAAGTAATATAAATATAAATGTAAATAAATATTCGTTAGTGGAAAAATATCAATATTTTGTTTATCTCTGAATATATTCAATGGCTTAACAGAATGCTCTTGATATTTCATAAGAGATCAAACAACTATTTATATATAGGTATAAACATTTGTGTATATAAATGTATAAAAAAATTGAGCTCTAAATGACAGTTTAATTAACTTCGTAAATATCAAACAAAAAGTGTACAGTTTTAATGATTTAATTGTTACATAAAAAATACATAAATAGATTAAATATTTACCTTATCATATTAATAAGTACAAAGCTATATCAATACAATTGTAAAAGTTTGGTTTATGAATGTATTCAATTCAATAATGAAACTAAAACTTAAATGACCAAGACTCAAGGGCAAATAGTAGTAATCAACGGGAAAGTTTTCTACCATTTTTGATGGTTAACGTAAGTCACAGAATTTTATGCTATAGACAAATACATATTCAGATTATCAGGCAGCTATAACATTCGAATCTTAAAAGTTTAGATCCTAATTGGTTCGATCTGAATTTTGTGCTATAGACAAATTCATATTCAGATTATCAGGCAACTATAAAATTCAAACTTTAAAAGTTTAGATCTTAATTGGTTCGATCTAACGAATATCTGATACATGAGGTTAATACGAATAGAGTTATACTTGAGTACGACTGACAAGTATTAGTCATCGAAAAATTCAACTGTAACAAAACAGCTAACAAGCTTGAGAAGAACAATTACTTTACTTTTTTTATAGAACTCAAAATTTCGTAATAAAACTCACATATCAGACTACATTCTTACTTGGAAACAAAGAATTTAAATTGTTTTTAGAGTCATGAACAGACACCAAAGGTTTATAGACACAAAGGTGTTTATAATCCTAAAACCTCACATGGACCAACAACAAAAATACTTACCAGTTTGAGGTCTGTTTGAGCTGCAAGATATGTCCTAACATAACTGAGAGCTTGATATGATATAGCCAAGTACAAAACAGTTACTTCTCACACATAATTACTTTTGTCTCCAATCTATATTCCAACTTCATTTTATGTCAAAATGTACATAAACAATTTGAACTCTATTGATTTATGGCTTCACACTACTAGGGTGACAAGATTTTTTCGCTTAGATCCAATTCAGCATTTCTATCTATCCCTCTTCATAATCTTGCTTTACACTCTTAACACTTTCAGTGGTTTAAATCCTTTTTTGTTTCAACAATTTTTCAGAGAATAATAACACGGGTGGAGCCTTGTACCAATGTATATTGTTAGCTTTATTTGTTTTATATAACTTAGGAAACTTTTTTCATAGGCAACACAAAAGAACCACTGTCTATTTGTTCACTGTCCTTTCTAATAGTAAGAGAAATATAGAATATGTTTTAATTCTGAAAATTTAAAAACATATCTTTTCTATAAAATTTGCACGTCTAATATTAATCATTTGCGTTAGAAAATCTCTAAAGATTTTTAAACTACATAAAATAGCACATGTTCAACTGTTATTTATATTTTATTATTCAAATTTTGACAATGTAATGAAATTTTATTATTTTGTAATATTTAAATAAAACAAATTTTATTACTCTACTCTATATTTAATTATTTAAAATATTGAAAAAGTTAAATAATATATTATAACAATTTAAATATTTTATTTTTACAGAAAAGCGTGGAGAATGATGAAGGTGAAAAAGCAAATTTAGTGTCAGTACGTCAGTCGGACTTTGAAGTCTTTCAGGCTTTAGCTAAAGATAGTGAAAATGTGCCTAATTATGCAGAAAAAGAATATTCACAAGAAGTACCCCAAGCTAAACCATGGGAGAAGGTGTCCGGGCCACCCGTTTTACCTCCACATTTACTGCAAGTCATCTTAAATAAGGATACACCGTTATCTGTAATACTTAAACGTTTTAAAAGTTTTTAATAAAAAATACTAACATTTTATTTATTTCAGTGTGAACCAACATTATTGCCAGAACCTAACCATGTCATGTTAAACCATTTATATGCCTTATCTATCAAGGATGGTGTTATGGTACTCAGTGCTACACATCGTTATCGTAAGAAGTATGTAACTACGCTTTTATATAAACCAATTTGAGGATATAATGGAATTGTTATCAAAATATAAATATTAACGATATATAAAATAATAATATTAAAAAAGATTTATGTTGCCAATTATATAAATATATTTATTTTCGTTTTATACTTTTATCTGTTGAAATAATATAAAGATGTAAATATTTTTATATATCGATTAACCTATATAATTAAAGTTATAATGTGTTTCGTTTAAAATTTTTAACAATAAACAAAATTAATTTAATTAATTCTGCGATTTTTTTTTAAATATCATTATTTATTATAGAACATACGTATTTATAAGCTGTTTAAACAAAATTTAGCTTATTAGCGAAATGATATTGTAACTATTTACAACATATTTGATTATCTCAATTATAAAATAATCATATACGAGTAAAAAAAAGTTATATTAAAACGATTTAAATATCCGCAAAATACTTTTTAATTATTCAAATTGTTCGTTGTAATTTGTATATAATTTTTGAGATTAGAGAATGTATCTAAACACATTCCTCAAGAAAATGATTAAAAAGCTCTTATAATTTCCAATACAAAAAGCTTTATAAACTCGCGAAGTTTAGTATGAAAATAGGCTTAATATATATATATTAACTTTGCTGACTTAAAAAAATTATTATTGATATACATATATCACATTTATTGCATATTATTTATATTGATATTCTAAGCATTCATTTATTAAATTAGCATGCCTGCTCAGTATTAAATATTGTTTATTATTGAATTATTTAAACTACAGATCTAAATTAAACTGATTTCTCCAACCTTATAACATATTTATATAAAATTGTTAAGAAAATATATGCACAATTTATTGCATAGTTATTTTTTATTTCAAAGTACCAATGGCATGTTAACAATAATTAAATCTAATTTATTCTAAATAATTTTACTAACCAAATTAAAGCTTGAATTGTGATATCAGCAGCATTATATAGTTAAATTGCATTTCATTCAAAATACTTTAAGTATTATAAATACTTAAGGCTTAATTTAATTTTTAAACATTTTTCCATTAACTATTTTCTGAAAAATTTACTGGCATAGATGCATTTAAACTCTCAGTTGAGCTTGTAAGTACTTCATATTCTTCATATATCTTCTGAAGTTCTTTGGTAGTACTCTCAAATTCACCGTCCTTGTCGAAAAGAGTTTTCTTGAAGAATTCAGCGAATAGACGCCCCATATACTGATCTTTGGTAGATGGCCACATACCTTCAAGAAATCCAATGTGACCACCTCGAGCAGTAACAACAATAGCAACATGTGAACATTTTTCAGCTGCTTTAATTGGAATGGCTGCAAAAGTGAAATAATTTTTAGAAACTATTAAGCTAAAACTTCATGAATTTACCTTCTAGTGGTTGAAATGGATCATCGGCTGCACTTAAACATAATAAAGGCACTGATATTTTGTCCAACTTATTTATCAATGTTGCATCATCATAATAATCATCCACGTGAGCATAACCAAATTGCTTTGAGGTAAATTCTGCATCAAATTCTTTAATCGTTTTACACTGAAATTAAATTTATAAAAATTATTTAATAGTCAACAATATTATAATCATTCTATTCATGCCAATTCCTCTTAAAAATAATTTTTTTTTTTTAACGAAAGAATGAAAGTTATTAACTCAAGCGTACCATTATATATAGTTTGTGACTAAGTAAATGACCATCAAAAATATATAACAAGCCTCGGTATTTTAAAAATGCCTTTATTTTAGAAGCACAAAGCACTGGTCCTTAAGAGACAGCACTTAGAATTCTCTGCACAGGAAGATAGAATGTGCTTTATAGCAAAAATTTTACCACTAAGTTTCTTTAAAACTCAGTTTCTTCCAGTATTATGTAGCTTATATATATGTGTTACAACCAAAGAGTGTCTGATTAATAACTAACTAATGTTCCACAGTTTTTTCGATCGAACGAAAACCGCCTTATGTACTGATAAGAATTTTAATTAATTTCTAAACTCAAATTATATGATCTCTGCCTATATATTCTCATACTATATAACAAGTTATATTATAAATTATTATACTTTGAATTCTTTGTTTAAATAAAAATAAATGAATTATATACATTTTCTATAAACTTCTTACTCTTGTAAATATATGCAATATTAAGAAAATAATCTAAGACTCTATAACTATATAACCTCATGACCATCTCGGCGAATAATTTGATCTGAAGATGTCTTTCTGTTTGGTTATCGGTAAATTGATCTCAGAATTTTTAAGTGAAAACAGTCAGTTGAAGTTGGTAGATGAATAAAATCAGTTGATTATATGTAAAACAAACAATAACAATGAAAGTTTAATAGGTTTGCTTACCGATAGAATGCGATCCATATCGATGTCAGTCTTTTTATATATTTCACATTTGCGAAGGGTACGACATAAGCTACCAGCTAAATGACGTCCTAAAAGGCTGTTTAAAATTGGTTTCTCGATACTCGCATTCCCTGTAAAAATATATTATTATATATAAGGATAGATTTTAATATTTTTTGTGTGAGTTTAATTAAAAGTATTAGAGTAAACTATTAGAAAATATATATAAAAATACCTTTGTGAACATCCCAAGGCACTGATATAATTTTAGCAGCTTGTAAGTATGTGCGAGCTTCTTCACTGCTACGTGCAAGATAGTTGCCTAAAATTTGCAATTAAAAAAAATAAGATTGTGTATTCTATAAAAAATTGCTCAAAGCTCTTTAAAAAGTATTTCTACCTAAAATCAAGCCACCCATTGATATTCCTGTTGCACCCAATTTACAATGTGGCACAGTGTTTCTGACATGTTTCACTACCTCAGATAAATCTTCACAGTTCGCTGCGCAGTATAGACGTGGAGTCTTCAGTTCAATACCTCCTAGTCCACGATTATTGAAAACTACAACACGCATTCCTTCATTATTTGCCGACCAAACCAAACATTTAATATATTCGGCCTGAGATTCGCCTGTTAAACCGGGTAAAATAATGATACAAGGTGCTCCTTCAGCACAATTCTCCTCTAACCAATCCAGTGCAACTTCACCACCATCTTTGAGTGTTAAAATTTCTCTATTACGATAATAAAAAAATTTTAAATACGTTTTATATATATTGTATATATATATATATATAAACTAACCTTCGATAATTAATATGAGGTATAACTTGAGCACGTAAGAAGCTAGCTAAAACCGTTTGGGCTCGACTCTCCACACACCAAAATGTAGGCCAGAACTTCATTTCCAGTGCAGGAATATTTTTCAACAAAAACTTTTTGAACGGACCATCTGAGCAGGCAACTATTGGACGCTGTAGTTATATGAAAAGAATTAAATAATATATTGTAGAAAATATTATATTAAAAAATTATTGAACTCACCTTAACTGCCTGCAATAGGTAGTACAAGAAATAGAAAATCACAGACGAAGCCAGAAGATGAAGTCGTGGCAAATTTGTTATATAACAATATAGGTCATAAAGCATTTTGAACTATTTTCAACTAATCTGCTATTATATATATCAAATTTTTAACACCACTAATTTTGTCTGCAAATAAAACAGAATTAAAACATTAAAATTATTAAAATTACAAATGATGAAAACAAATATGAAAAAATGCACCCGTCAATTCCGATCCTAACGGTCTAAGCTTTTAGGTTTCACAACTGAATTGAGTACTTTGTATTTGTAATGTTTTAGATTTTTTTGATATAAATTTTTAAACTGTATTATTTATTGTATTAGTTTTTGTGTTTATAAATTTAAAATCATTGCTATATTGATTATTAATTTGTAGATATAAAGACCTAGGTGCACTAATAAATGAATTAGACATTTAAGACAATTAGACATTTAAATCACCTCATATTCTCAATGAGACACTAATAGGTGCACTAATAAGTTCTCGGGGACTTTCACCTTGACGTGGTGAAGAGGCCCTGTAATTACGTAGAATCTTCGAGCGATGCCGGCGGTAGCATGCTACTGGTAGGGCCTCCCTTGCCGGTAAGGTCGAACTAAGAGTAATGAAGCTAAACACAGTCCACAACGTAGCGTTGGTAGTCATAATGAGCAGCTGCAAAAGGCGTTTGTTTTCCAGGTTAGGAACGACCTATTTAAAAGTAACCTGTCACTACGTGCAAAGCTTACAGAACTGACATTCTCTTTGTAACACATCGCCAGGGCTTTGCTCTCTTCTTTAACTATTTTCTGGAAATTAAACATGAGTCTAAACCCGATGGAATGATAGTCTCCAAATGGTACCCGTACATATACAGCGAATCCACCTGCTTCGGCAGCATACACAACGGATTTGGAGGTGCGAAACTCGCGCTTAAACAGAATCTCTTGGTTAGGTACAACTGTAACCACACAGGCCAATGTTTCCATGGGAACGCAATGAATGAAGATAATTGCTCAGACATATGCAAATTCGCTGTATACAGTTGTTTCCATTCAAAATACTTTTAAAAAAGACATAAAATATTATCTTTAAATTGCATAGATATATAGATCGTTATTACTAATTTGTTAAACGATCAATAACTCTTTATAATCCATTGTATGTCATTAATGAAGGACAGCAGGACTTAAACCATAATGAATGAAAAAAAAGATGTCCGTTTTTTTTTTGAATATTTATTTTTTCAATTATCGTAGGTGTCAAGGTCAGTTTTACTATTTTAGATAATAAAACAATTGCATAGTATCATAAATTTATATTATTACTAGTATTTGATAAGCTATCTTCATCAATGATTAACTAAGGCATAAGATTCTTAAGATATGCCTTGTGTGGGTTTCTTACCCATTATCTCAAATAAAACACTAATAACACTGGTTGTTCTGAAGTGAATTTGGTTTACTCATTTTGTGACGCATTACTAGATTACATCAATACACATTATTCCAGTTTTCAAGTTTAATAATTGTGTAATTTTTTTATGTATTTAAAACTTGTAGAATTAGAAAAAAAATTAATTGTTAAATTTTAAATTGATTTCTATTCCTTAAAATTTAAGTAAATGTATTTATATTAATGGAATTATATTCTAATTTATAAATATTTGTATTGAAACTAGTCGTTGAAAAAACTATATTTAAATTTATCTTTAAAATAAATTTGGGTTTCAATTAAAAACTATTTTAAAAAAACTAAAATATTCTATGTTCTGATAAGATTACAGGGATTAGTTTTACATGCGCAAGCAAGTTTAAAGGCCTGTTAGCCATACAATATAAATAGCGAAGCTCCCGGTTATGGCTGGTAAGGATAATATTTAAATATTATGTATTTATATATACATATTTATTACATATTATTATTATTATATTATTATTATTAATAGTGAAGAAACTACAGCACCAGCCGAAAAACTATCGTTGAATTTTAATTATATAGCTTTAAATATTTTTCGATGAGATTATAATTTATAATTGAATAGTTTATTTTATATATTCTTCTTTTGCTGTGTTTGTATTAAATACATTTCACTCACTGATGAATTGATGGTGATCAATTTTTAGAAGTGCAATAATCAGCTGGTTTTCCGCTTCGAACGAAATCAAAACAACAACTGACGTAATGCGCGATCAGTGCAAATAATAAAGCTCAGAAAAACATATACAAACAATTTCTTTCCGTCTTCCCCTCTAAGATTTGTACTAGCTTTTTCACCGATTGTCGCAGCTGATCAGTGACCGTATCTCTTGTACTTTGGAATTGAAAAAAGTTAAAAAAATTAAAAAAAAGCTTTCTGAAAATGAATCAATCGTATAAGAAAGACATTTTTTAATTAAGTTAAATTGTTTCCGATAATATTTCCAATATATATCTATTAGCTTTGATTTATAATAAGTAAAGTCAAATAATATTATTTAATGAATTATTATTGAACTTATGTATTTAAATAATTTTGATTATAATATTTGCAGTAGTCAAAAAGTGAAATAAAAAGCTTTTCATAGTTGAGATATATTTAAGGATTTTTCTTAATAAATTTAAAAATGTATCTTAGATGGTTTATAATAAATAATGATTGATAATAATATATACTGAATAAAATAAAATTTATCTCTTTTTAGCGTAAAATAATTATTGAACTTATACAATACATATATTTACTTATTTCTAATTATTTATTTGGATTAAAAAATACAAATAATGCCTCTACAAACAGAATAGTATTGAAATTTAATAATTAAAAATAAAATTATAATTAATTAAATCAATTATTCTACAACTTGTTTATGATTTCGTTCTAATATAAAAACACAGCAAGTGAATTTGTTAAAATAAAAACTTTCACAGCGAATTAACAAAACTCCAGAAAATATGCGTATATAAAAGTCAAGTACGGCTTTGGGTTAGTTCGTTAAAATGCGCTGACTTTGAGTTTCAAAATTGACTGGGCACAATTTCGATTCATGCTATTTACAATCTTAAAAAAAAATTATTTCGGAATAATTAAAATATTTCCAAGAACACTGATGATGGCTATTTGGCAATAGTCGAAATAGCTGTATGGTTAGCCATAAATTCAATTAATTGAAATAATAATAATTTTTGTTGTTGTATTTCACTACTGTTCGAAAAACCTCTTTATGAAATATAATAGTTTCTATTAAATGTAATAGTCACTTCCATCTGAAAAATATGATGTTAAATTACAACTTATATTCATAAAAAAACTTAAATTTTTTCTCATTTTCTCATCAGTACAGACTTTTTATATATATAAAAAGGTTTGTGTTATAACAATTAGTTTTGAATTATAACAACTAATGTCTAATAAAAACAATTTTTTTTATGTTTATTTTTTTTAATAATGTGAAATGATTTGTGATGTATTAATTAATAACTGAACACAATATAATTTTTTTATATATACTGTTTTAATAATGTAAATAATGTAGACAAATTATTTATTAACTAAAGACTAACAATAACATTTATATATATATATATATTTAATAATGTAAATAGATATAACACAACACATTTATAACTATTTACTTGATTTAAAGTAAATAAATAACACTAACATTTTTTATATGTAATTCATTTTAATTACATACGTAAAGAGATTTGTAATAAATCTATTAATTAATAATTAATTTGTTAACAGTAAGCTAACAATTTTTTATACATATTTTTTTAAAAATGTGGAAGATAAATTATAAATTTTTTTTAATGATGTAAAAAAATTTATCTATTTATGATGTATCTATATAAATTTATATGTAAATGTATATAAGTGTTCTGTGTAATTTAAAATGATTATGATATACCTTAAATGACCCCAGGGTACTGGAGAAGGACAGGTCAGCAGGAGACGATATGAGTGATTTGAAATCAACATTTCTTTTAAACTCATTTAAATTAATATATTCATCTATATATATATTCATATATATTCTCTTTTAAGAAATATTCGAAAACATGCCATCCTCTATGGTATAATCTAATTTGATAAATTTGTATATGCCGCAGTAATAATCACTTTTAAAGTAACGGTCTTTTAAAGGTTCTTTATATGAGTATTTAAATTTTTTTAATAACTGTAATAAGGTTTTACCGGAATGCGAAAAAATCTTTTGTTAGTTTTTTTTCGTAGTCATTAGAAATAATCGATAATCAATATGATTACATGACATCACCAAATAGTTTAGTCGAATTGTTTTCTTATATTCTCTAATAATGTATATCAATTCTCTACAGGAGAATAGAAAATTTTTTAAATGTGTTGTATCTCTCGTACAAATCAGTTTTACATAGGTTGATTTTGTAGATATGAGTGATTGAATAAGACACAACGCTATATATTACCAAAAAAATAATATACCATATAGCAATTATTTTACAAAAAAAAAACATTACCCTATACTTCTGAGTTATATATTAATATCAAAAAAAAAACAATTAACTATTACTGTAATGAATAATATAGAATATATAAGAATGTATCCGTATTACAGTTTTTTTATCTTTTTAAGAAATGTTGTAACGTCTGATTCATGTAAACTTAATTATTTTTTATTATAAATTTAATATAATTTCATTTAAATTTTTTTGTAAATTTTCCTAATCAAAGTAATGCAAAAAGAGGACTTTAAACTTTCAAAGATATTCATAACAAAATAATGTAAACATATGCCATTTTATTAGTCACATCAAGATTAATAGATCTGGCTCAATCCATTTCTATTATTGTGACGCGATTTTATCGGAAATTAGTTTCTTATTTAGCTAAACGTTGATATAAAAATTGTTTCGTGAAAGTATCATCAAAATTTGCGGAAATAACTAAAATATTTTAACTTATCCAAGTATTCCAGATACTTATACTATACCTGGATATCCATACACGGTGCCCTGGTATAAAAAATACCGAATACATTATGTTGAATTCATATACAGCCACTTTTCGTAAATCGTATTTTAGTATTTATTCACTAAAACCTAATATTCCTTCTTTCTAAATTTGTGGAATGTTATTTTTAAACATTTACAAATTCACTTTTGAAGTCAATTTTTTACTAGCAAGAAAATATAGTAAATATCATAATGAATGATAGTCTGATGGTGAAATATAAAAACTTTATGATAAATATGTTATGTTAGTTAAGGTCTTCTTTTTTATCGTGTCACGTTATACGTTTTTGTGTACTAAAATTAGTTTGATAATACATAATATCTTTCCTATTGATCATGTTCTCTTAATCATCTTGATTTGATAACAATTTTAACTTTACTTACTTACAAGAAAATTACTTATAAACAAGTCCACTTTTGACTGAGAGCCCAAGGTGAAATATCGCTAACTTACTTTCGAAAAAAAATTTTTATGTTCCGAGCATACAACGGAAATCGCGTGCAATTTAAATTTGCATTAGAGATAGAACTGTCAAACTCTTTGATGCTATAAACACTCACCAGTATACAAAACTACTGATTAAAGGCTATCAATTCTTTTGTCACCACTGATATTAATGTTTGAAGCTTCTTAGCAGAGACGATATTAAAATCTACACTGAACTTGTTACAGGACACTGTAAACTTAATTTCCACATGTAGATTATATGTGCGATAGAAAGTAATTCATATCGACTCTGTCATGAGGGGAAGGAAACATCAGAACATATCCTATGCAACTGCTCAGCGGCGGCAAGGCGTAGACTCGACTACCTTGGAAGCGGAACCTTAGTCCCAAATCAAATAGGTAAAATTAAGCTCACAGCAATTAGGAGATTTATAAATAGTCTAGAATTGTTTTAGTTGGGCCTTTAGGCATACAATAGATCTTTTAGGTTGAGGTGCATTCATAACCTATTATTTAATAATAAAAGAAATAATAATAATAATAATAAATATTATACACAATTTCATCAACTTTTTTGGGGGTATATGAACACTAATATTCTCATAACTAAAACAAACGAATTTTATCCCGGCAGTTACTTGTGATAGTGTATCTCTTTTATGGATACTCTTCCTTTTATTGTAGTAAAATTGTGATATATCATAAATTTTTTTTTAATGTTTCTAATTTTTATTTTGTAAACACAAGGTAAATTACTAATCTCATAAATCATCAACCAATAATCAATTAATTTGTCATCTGTCAAACCAAAGAAAGATTTAGCAACCGCTACTAACCGTTTAAAATTTAACACTTTTTAAAATCAGTTAAATGAAAAAACGCTGAATACTTTTTGTCCAACCTGATAAATATTTCTAATTGTTATTATTTTTAAATCTTATATATTTATCTATATTCATTATTCATTAACTTCAAGTTATGGTTAATATATATTATATATACTTATATAAAATATTAGAATTAAAGAAAGGCATAAATAAAGTATAGGTAATGAGTAATGGTGGACAAGGTATTTTTAAAACTTATTTTCAACTTTATCATTTTTGTAATTTGGTTTGGTATAATTGCATTTTACTAATACTTTTGACCTATTGACAAGTTCTAAATTCGTATATCGTTTCACTTAAATAGTTTATAATGACTGTTAAGAATACTAAAGCATGAAGCAAAATTGTAAGTAAATCAATATTTTCATTACTGTTTTGTAATTTGAATAAACGCAACTTACAAGGCAAAAGGTTAATAATAAATAAAAAAAGATTTAATCTATATATGTATTTTTAAATTTTAAAAATTAAAACAGTAATATTATGTTTAACATAAAAAGTAAATGAAAATTGTACAATCATGCACTGAAAAAAAAAATAGTCGTTCCATTGAAACAACCAATGGACATAGAATTTCAGGTGTCAAAAATTCAATAAATGGTAAAGTAAAGTAAATTCACTCTTCAATTACATAAGTAAAATAATTACAATAAATTTTACAATTTAATATTTTTCATAACTTTTCGAACTCACGTAATTAGTTAAGTTTATTACTATCAATTGTTTTAACTGTCAATATAAAATAATCAAGTTTTCAGGAATTTTATTGTATTTACATTGACTTATTTCGTAATATAAACGTGGACGACCGCCCTCCTCTCACTGAGTTCAAACGGCGCGGAAAGACTGAATGAAATCAAAACTGCACGCTTAAGTGTGATTGTTGTCCATTAAATATTTTTACATTTTCTTTAGATTACATGACTTTTTCCGCAAGCAAAGCTTTCTGAACTGACTTTCTGAAATGCCGGTAGAGAGTAAAAGTTCTCCCTAAAAGCACGCAACGTGCGTTGCACGTGCAACTAATTCATTTACGAGGGATGGATGGTAAATTTGAGGGAAATAGTAAATTATGTCGTTGTGGTAGCGAATGTTGGTATTTACCAGAATTTTGAGTAGGGTAAATTAGATAAAAATTAGATAAATGAGGTGTGACCATTGTGAAAATTTTATAAGATGTTTAATAAATAAATAAATAAATTTAAAAACAACAATAAATAAATATTTACATAAATGCAGTACAAAAAATCCCTAGGAAATTTTAATTTATTTTACCTCAATTTGCTCGAACTCTCACACGGCTTAAATTTCTTTTCAAATTTTTTCAAAAATGTACAAATATAATATATAAATATTATAAAATAATAAAAACAAAAATAATAAATGTTAAATCGACATCTAGTATCATTACAAAGCCTGAGAAGAAAAATAAAATAAAATAATGGTAATAATTAGTAAATTATTAGTAATTTAATAATTAGTAAAAAGTAAAAATTAAATAACAACTTATTTTATTCAATAATAATTAAAAATAATAATTGTAATAATAATAAAAAATAATCCATTATGCAAATATCCAGTCTTGGCAAGAAACAGATTCGCAATTCTTGGAAAACTTTTTTTGTGGTTCCTGAAACATAGTTAGAAATTGATATCGAAAGTCCTCACAATATTCTCAAATACAATAAATTATACAGATATATGATATGATACAGATATCTCTTAAACCAGGAATACATGTATTATAAAAAACAATCCATTAAAAAATGTTTTGCTTTCTTAAAAAATTCTTAAAAAATTTAATTTCACTTTAAAAAAACAGTGAATTTTTAACAATATGTGTGAAATTCTTTGCGTGGTAATTTCTTTAAAATAATTTTTGGAAAATATTGAATTGTGGACGATTTTTGACTTTAATACAAAAATTACCGACTGTGTGAGATATCATTGTCTTATTTGATCCTTTTTTGTGTAAGCACATGTGTGTGTCTCTTGAAAGTAAATCTTCATGAAATTTTTCTTTACATCTTCCGGCTCTTAATATGTGAAACCACTTAACAGTTTTTTTGTCTTTTAATTTTTCGGTAAAATAATCCTACACTTTCCTTTTTGTTCACTCATGAGGTACCTGCTGAGACTTCATAAGAAAGACATAACTTACATATTAACATTACCCATTATTCTTTTTTTTTTTTTTTTGAAAGGCAAATATTATATATTAAACGATTTTCTTTTTATTATTTTAAAATGTATTAGTACAAAAATAAATATAAAAATTCTTTTATTATTGTTTTTTTCGCACACATGTTGAATTTGAAAAAAATATGGTAAGAATGTTAAAAAAATTGGGTATAGTCTGACAATCTGTAGTTTATTTTTTTATATCTTTAAAATTCAAAGAAAAATGTGTTTCTTTGTGAAAATTTCAATCCTATTGAATAAAATAAACTAAATACTCGAAGAGGACATCAAGAATAACTGATTTTAATACATAGAGAAAGTATTCATATGGGATTAAGAACGATGTAATTTCCAAACCGATTATCAACAAAATAAGTGTTTCAAATTAATAACACTTAATAAGCTATTATAAAAGAATTTATCAATATCAAAATACCCAGCAGGCGAAAGTAGCGATGCAGCATCGATACTGCATCGATCTTTAGAATCAACCACCAATACCACTACAATACAAAGTAAATGCATTTTTGTGCATTGCATATTATAGGAAAATCATCGATGCTTTATTGATACCTAACCATACTTAAAAGCATCATTGCGGGTGTGAGGAATCAATACAATTGTGTGGTGAATTCAATATATATTTTTAAGGGAATCGTAAATCGCAGTCGTAATTGCAGCAAGAACAAGTACTTTCCCAAGAACTGAACGGAAATAATTTGTTTGTAGAATTATTTTTATAATTATAGATATGCTGAATTAAGAAATTAGATGTAGTCACAACGAAAAAAAGCTTAATATGAAATTGGACCGCAAATTAAACCAGTGGATATATACATTATATTCACAAAGAGAAGATATAGTAAAGTACTAAACAATACTGACTCCAATAAAACAACAGTATATAATGATATTTTAATTGATCTTTAAACTTAATACGATGTATGAGCATTAAAACTATCATTATCATTATATTTAAAATGAAGTAGACCACTTTTATGCACATACATACATACATACATATATGAACAGTCGTTATTTTTCTCTACATTAAAAAATAACATCAATAGTAAATCATTTATGCGAGAACAAAAAGTATTTTTTCTACAGGATTATTTTCACACGATCGTAAAAATTTTCGTACAAACATAGACTAAACACTCTTATGCACATAAGTAATTTTTGTAACACAATTATTTTCAAACGATCGTAAAAATTTTTTTACAAATATAGACTAAACAACAATACATTAGCAACAGACTAAACAACATTCAAATACCATAGACTAAACAACATTTTATATGCGGTATATTTTTCAAAACTTCAAAAAAATAATTTTTTCAGGATCGTAAATATTTCGCACTGGTGTCGTTTGCTAGCACCGTGACTTAGCCATTCAAGCTGATATAAAAATCCGTATGCTTAAAAATTGAAGTGAGGAAGCTCCCATATACAACTCAACTACCGAATAAACCCATAAAAACATCAACCCACATAAACATCAAATCACTCCAAATTCCCAACAAAATACTGAAGGATACACCTATAAAATAGAGTGGAGGCGGATTGAAAAAAGACACTATCTCGAATAATTTATCTGTAATAACACAAAAGTTGATAAATGTGTAGAAATATTTTAAGCACACAAAGTAATCACTAAAAGCATATAAATATGTATAAAAAATCGTAATGAGTTTTTCTAATGAAGAAAACCTACCAAGATTTACAATTAAAAGTATGCCATAGAAAGAAACATTTTAACAATTGGTTTAAAATATTTATTTGTGAACAAAGTCAATTTGGTAATACTATATGTATATTTTTATATAAATTTTCTTAAAATATAAGCGCCGCCAAAATAGCAGGAATTTCTTAAAGTATGAGATTAAAATTAGTTATATGTGGTTATTTACAATATTGAATGTGTGTCAAGAAATATTATCAGACTTAAAAGGCTAAACATTTTAAAAATCAGCGTCCAGCGTGAAAACTTGATCCATACGTTTAGCAGACACACCCGCTTTTCGGTATTCTCCCACACGCCTTTCGAAGAAATTCGTTTTTCCATCCAAGGAAATCAACTCCATAAATGGAAATGGATTCTTACTATTGTAAACCTAAAGTAATTTGAATAAAATATTACGGCTTGCAAGTAAAAAAATTGAATTATACAAACCTTGCCAACGTTGAGCTCAACTAGCAAACGATCAGCGACAAATTCGATATATTGAGACATGAGTTTGCAATTCATACCAAGGAGATTAACAGACAAAGCTACAGTTAGGAACTCTTTTTCAATTTTAACAGCATCTGTTATAATTTCAATAATACGTTG